CTACCTTGGGCACTGGGCTTGTAATAAAATGCATAAGAAAAAAAAGGGGCAAATGCATTGATGTCACAACGTAGTTTCAAATGTGCAAAAGAAAACAGGAGGGAGATCCCACTACGCATGTGAGTGGAGTAGTGGACACGGTGTGTGACTCCAATGCACCGCGGATCGGGACGACAATCAGCAGTGTGTTTTTTTTCGTATTTAAGGGGATGGGTATAATATATGTATTTCCATGGCGCCCTATTGGTCTGTCTTGCTTCTTTTTTGGTTTTGAAGGTCCTAGAGGGGTCCCCGATGTGAGTGAAAATCATGACATTAATTTCGTTCTGATTTTCACGTACCTTCCACTTAGTACCTTCTGGAGGGCGCCCTCGCAGGAAAGAAAGGCCAACAGCTAAAAGTTTTGGGCTTTGCCATTATGACGGGATGTCAGTTCGTGTCAGACTGTGTGCGAATGCTGTCTGCAGTCGAAGCAGCGGCGCTTATTGGTCGGCTGGGGCGCCCGTCACTCGGACGCCCTTGGTTACCACAAATTTTTAAAAGTTTTATGTTCACGGAAAGGATGCCACACGATGTCGCCCGCACGTCGCGCACCCATCACACTACACCACATACCTCGATAGTGGGATAGTGGGATCTCCCTCCAGGAGGCAACAAAGAAAACAGCCGAGTTCGAAGAAGCAACGAAGAAGCAATGAAAGTACCGCGGTCGTGACAGAGGCACAGGTGCCATAAAAAAGGGAAAAAAAAAAAAAAAAAAAAAAGATGTTGAAAGAGAGGGAAAAAAAAAGTACAGCGTACCTGAGGGAGAACAGTTGGAATGCATCTGGACAGCCTTGCAACCCGGATGCATTCAAAATGTTGGCCAATGGGGAGTAGTGCAAGTAGGCCCCATCTCTCATTCCCTATCTTTATTATAAAATGAAATTGAATCTGAATTCGAAATTTTTTTTATTCATCAAAAAAAACTTTTGAGAATTTTTCATGAATAAAATTCAGTCCATGAAATTCCAGATTGAAATTCAATCTCATTTTATCTCTGCAGCAGTGATAATCCCCTCCAATGGCTACATTCTTCACCTGAATTCGGTGTACCATTATTATAACTGTTGATGTATTTAGACTGAAACATACCCCAAATACACCAACAATGACGGTACATTCTATTGGGCGGCCAAGTCCCACTTACCCCACATCTCAACTTCTGACCGTAGATTATGATGATCAGCGGCCAGAAATGAAGAATCACGCTAGTGGGGCTTGGCCCGGGGGCCAAGTCCCTCTAGCAGGGTTGAGCTACCTGAACGCCTGAATGTGGATGCTTTTGCAGAGATGTGCAGAAAATTATGGTGTTGAGTTTCCTGAACTGCACCTCTCCACAAACACGTCCAGATTCAGGCGTTGAGGTAGCTCAACGCTGCTAGCGGGACTTGGCCCCAGGTGAAGAAAGAATGAGATGGACTCTACCTTCTGCCCCCCAATACAACTCATGGTCATTATAGCTGTATTTAAGGCATCTTTCAGTCTAGATACAGCTATAAGGACGGTGAATACATTGGAATTCGGGGGGGGAAGGTAGCCACTAGATAAACAATGTTTGCCAAAAGGAGCAATGCCTGGGAACTTTTTATGAACAAATAGAATTACAAATTGAGATTGAATTTCATTTTAATATCCCCTTTCCAAAAGGAGCAATGTTAGAGATTGAATTTCATGGTATCCCTGCAGCCATTGGTCATCCTTCTCTGGTTTCCTTCTTTGCCTATATTTCATGTACCAGTCATTATAATTGCTCTATTAGACTGAAAGACACCCCAATTTGAATACAGCGATAGTGTGTATCGAGGCCCTGTCACCTGTGTGCGGAAATGGGAAAAGGGAAAAGTCCCTTGGGGGCCAAGTCCCACTAACAGCGTTGAGTTTTCTCAACACCTGAATCTGGGTGTGTTTAAAGAGATGTGCAGAAATGGCATTGAGAGTCTCCTCAACAGCACACAAACTCAACGCTGCCAGTGGGACTTGGCCCCGGGGCGGGGCTCCTGTCTATTCGAAAACGACACGTGCGTTCTCTTCTAACAGCCCGAATTTTCGAATACAACGCATATCCAGTCTATTCAAAATTTCCAGCCGAGACTGATGTTATCCTCTTGGAGAATTACAGACCAAGGGTTTAGCGTATAGCATGCAGTCTAAGGCCGCAACACTAAAACCCCCCACCAGGCCTGGTCTTTCTGGAACAAGAGATCACAAACCATGAACTTTTGTAGATGGGCTAAGTTCGGCGCGGTCACAAACACAGTTTGTAATTGCACTTCAGGCAATCCCGCGAATACATTACACCCCCACACGACCCCACCGGATCCGAAACGTAGGTCATATACATTCACCATTACCTTACCGGCCCTTTTGCCTCAAGTGCAATTACAAACTCAAACCGTGACTGCGCCATAGTTTTCTCTTTGTAGATTTTCAACAGACTGAGTTTGGTTTCCCTTATATTGTCAGATGATACAGGGAATCACAGAAACCAAAGTGGCAGGCCTACAATGGATGCACATGCATTCAAGCGTCCCTACAGCAGAATGGTGTGCAGAAAAGGGGATGCAAATCAATGTGTTTTGTGATCCGTGTCCCTATCCCAGAGTCGAATCCTCTGCACATTTGTGGTGGGAACGTGGTTTCGCACGGGGCTTCGGGGATTGGCTACGAGACTTATGGAGACAGGCCTACGGAGATTCTTCCACGAGGAAAGAAACTTTCATAATCACAGGAATCACACACATCTTTCAAGCGTTCCTACAGCAGAATGGTGTGCAGAAAAGGGGATGCGAATCAATGTGTTTCGTGATTAGTGTCCCTATCCCAGAGTCGAATCCTCTGCACATTTGTGGTGGGAATGTGGTGTGGCACGGGGCTTCGGGGATTGGCTACGAGACTTATGGAGAAAGGCCTACGGAGATTCTTCCACGAGGAAAGAAACTTTCATAATCACAGGAAGCACAGACATCTCTACTGGGAAAGGTATTGCCCTGACGCTCCGTGCCATCGCCTTTTGGATCTTGTTGTGGTTGGCAAGGAGAGCCAGACGCTTCCATGGTAAAGTTACTGCGGATGTGGCTCTAAGGAACAGCTTCAGACTTTCGGTTTGTAGACTGATCCTCCTAGGGGGAGGACAGGAAAGCCAGACAGAAGAGGACAATGCTGCCTAAGGGCTCTTGCAAAACAAACAAGGCATTGGGAATATCCCTTTCAGTGGGCAGGGAGAACCGCTGAAGCCTGACGGTAAACTCTAAGAGTTCAAGTGTCCCATACTCAACTACGGTCTTCCCCCGGAACATAACGCAACCTAAAAATGAATGAATATAAGCTAAAATTACGGCCAGATACAAACAAAATAAGGGTGTGTTGTGTTCGGGGGAAGAAGGTAGGAGACTTAACTAACTCTGTGCAGCAATTCCCGGAAGGCAGAAGTTTTAGAATACTATCAGAATAACAGTGCTTTGATAATTTGCAAAGCTGGCCAGAGAATATTTAAAGTCAGGTACTCTTAGTACGAGGACACTGGGCCTGAGGGTAAGGGATAGAGAAGGCTCAGAAGGGCGGTGAGAGGAACTTGTAGATAGTAGTAAGTATCTGGCGCCGAGCTCAAGGCGAAGAGGTTCCCTCCCCCCTTTTTTTGGCTTTGCTTTTACTGCTCAGTTAATCCCCTGGACTCCGGGGCAATCAATGCTGACAGGAATCTTCTATTTTTTGGTTCTCTGTTTGTACTATGAATTAAGTCTGTATACGGGACGCTGGACCCTGTTTCCAGCAGGTGATGCTCCCCACCAATAGACGGAGCCTCCCCCTAGGTGGTAGTGGTGTCTGCTCTTATCAGCACCACTAACATTGAAGGAGAGTTAAACCACCAGTACTTCCTAAAGTTGCACCCGTTAAGGAGCCACTATTTTAGGAAACGTACGGGCCACTACAGGAGCGCCCAAATTCATCCGACTAGAAATGTTTCTACTCTTTTTTTTCGGCTGCTGATTGTTCGGCCAAATACTGGTGGTTTAAAAAAAAAAAGGACACTGGAGCCGGGACCCACTAGCGTCGAGTAAATCGGTGTGTGGCGGCCGTTTCTTTAAAAAAAAACATATAAAGAATCCTTTTTTTGATTTTCAGAAATGCAACGAAAACAAGGCCAACGCTATGCATCCACACTTCCACCAACCTGTGACGTGCAACCTCACGCCCTGCGCTGCTTTCCGTTCGGAGTGTTTAATTTGCGGAAGGGGGCCCTGGAAAGACAGCGACATTTGGGAAAATTGAGTGTGGGGACACGGACAGAACCGAAATCCCCCGTGCCTGTCCGACTAAGTAAGAAGGGAGGGTCTGTCACTACTCGGGCTTATTTGATGGATCCTCGTAGGCGCGACGTGTCGCTGTTAAGGGAGCGGTCGGCCCCTGTTGTGCAGAGCACACTTGACCACTTCGCTCACACTTTGGGCGGGGACTGGGGGGCGGAGGAGATGCACAACCTCTGGGAGGCTTTATGGACTTTCCATTCAGACGATCCGCGGTACTGGCCGGAGCATGGACTTCACTGGTGGGACCAGTACACCACTTGGGATGCAGCATCGAAGACCATGCATCCGGCGTAGTGGTGGGAGCTCACAGCGGCCGTTTTCCAAGGTTGCAAGCCATCGCAAAGAAGGTGCTTGGCATGTGGTCGACAGCAACTCCTTGCGAGCGCAACTGGGCGACTCACGACTTCATTCACACGAAGAGGCGCAACAACCTCTCCACTAAGAGTGTTGAGATACTCGTGTTCATTCACTGGAACATGCAGCTTCTTAGTGCTAGCAGGCGGCGGGAGAGTCGTTATATCGACGTGTGGGCGGATATGGTGGAGGACCCCCCAGAGGAGATCGACGAGACAGATGTGATCCCCCCAGATGTCGGCGAGTATGAATGGGAGCTCATGGATCAGGTTAATCGTCGCAAGGACGGCCGTAACTGGGTCACGTCTTTATCGATAGACGATCGTTTGGCAGATACAATGCCCCCATGGTAGGATGCGGTGTGGATGCATCGCGAGATGATGGAGCAGGCACAGGCGGATCGGGGAAGAGGGAAGGCGGTTGCAGAAGACCAGCACGATATTCTCGACGAGTGGGCGACATTGGACCCTCACACGGACCTCGACTCGTACGCTGATGGCAGTTTCCAAGCAGTGAGGACCCTCTGGAGAAGGGTGGGAGGCCACGTCGATGTCGAGGGTCTATTGGCGACAGACGATGTAGAGGGGGTAAACGAGGACATCGAGCGCCGCCACGACGACATCCTTGCCTCGACTTCACAACCACTGGTGGCGGAGATAGGGTCATTAGGCTCCACAACATCACAATGCGTCAATCATCCCTCGTCCTCCCGTTTTGCAGGGCCGACCGCCGTCGACTCCAGAGGTCTGGAGCCACATGATTCTGCCACGTTAGGTTCCCTTGCTTGCACCGTCGACGTGCGTGGGACTGGCGGATCTTCACAGGGTACAGTACACCGTGCTGCGGTGCACAGGGCAGGGCAGAGGCGTAATGATAGCATGGACGAGAGGGCAGATCAGGCAGTGGAGCACAGGGCACAACACAGGGAGCGGGTGCAGCAGGTGGCAGAACAACTCTTAGAGCGTCCGGGGGTCAGACAGAGTGTCGTGCAGACGGTGGATTGGAGGGCGGATGTGGTTGCAGAGGATTTGATGGGGCACAGGGTTGATCAGAAAGTGGGTGACAGCACAGAATGTAGATTGTACGAGAATGCACACCCGAGGGACAAGGACGATGTTCGACCAATAGTGGTGCAGACTGTAGAGCAGCGAGTGGGGAAAGGTTTGGCTGGGACAGTGGAACAGAGGGTGGACCAAAGGGTACATCCATGTGCTCCCCTTGCTGCAGATCGTTGGGTGGAGCAGAGGGTGGAACAGAGGGTGGAAGTTAGGGTGGATGTGAATGTGGAGCAGCAAGTGGATCAGGGGCGATCAGACATTGCACGTGAGAGAGTGAGTGACAGGATTGACGAGAGTGTCGTTCGAGATGAGGGCGTTGTGATGGCGGAGGACGGGATGAAGGACAGGACGGAGGAGACGGGCAAGGATCCCCCGCAGGAGAGCCGTGCTCGAGACATCACACTCACTAGGGGTTCATTCTACGGGATTCCTTCGCCGTCCCCAAGTGCCGCACAATCGTCGCAGGGGGTGGATCTTGGTGTACATTGCATGTCGCTAGCACATCGCGTGGCAGCTCAGGAGCGAGCATCTGGAGGAGGTAGGGGAGCTCTCGACAGCGTCTCCAGTAAGGCGATGCAGGGTGGGGGACGCAGCTTGTTAATGACAAGTCGCGCACCCTTGACCAGTCTACTAGGCATACCGCCATTGCCATCACCTACAGACATCCACTCACCCCACACTTCCATGCCCACTGAGTGCCCTACTCTACGCGCATCACTACGGCCATCATCATCTATGACTGCTACCATGCCCGACCGCAGTCCGCTGGGCATGCCCCCGCTTCTGGCATGACAGGCTTCGGTTATCCGTGATAATGTGAAGACAAGTCGTGCTGGCAGGAAGAAGAGACAAAGGGAGGATGACGTAGGCGGGGAGCCACCTCCTGCACGTCGAGGCCGTGGCCGGCCTCGTGGCTCAGGAAGAGGCCGAGGCAAGCAACACTAATCATGGGCAATGAGCGCACTAGGCCATGGCAGGTCAGAGACTGGCGATGTTGCGGAGGGGATTGCAACAGGAGTTGGTGTTGCAGTAGGTGTCCATACAAGATCTCGAGCAGCCAGTAGAGAAATGCGAAAAACCTCTACTCGTGTGTTGGACGATGATCCTGATGAGAATGATGATGGCAACACCTCAGATGAGATGTCCGGCAGCGACTATGCGGAGGAGACACGTATGAGGGGTCAGGATGAGGCAGGAGATGACGACAACTTCGATGACACCAGCGACATGGCGGACTAGTGGGATAGTGTCCGTCCATCTGCGTGCATTCGTCTTTGGGGTGTGGGAGGCGGTGGAGTGTGGGGGACGTGTTCGGACTCTTTGGGGGGTGGGAGGCGGTGCAACGTGCGTTTGTGTGAGTGGTTGTGGATCGTTGGTTGCTGCTGTGGCAGCAGAGAGAGAGAGAGAGAAGGAGAGAGAGAGAGAGAGAGAGAGAGAGAGAGAGAGAGAGAGAAGGAGAGAGAGAGAGAGAGCTTCATTTCATTGTTGATGTTCACAGTTGAACTCTATATGCTGCATTGGTTGTGCTTCTCTCTCATTTGTTTGTCGTGCTTGAACTCGCAACAACAATGTGCAACCGTGTTCAGCAAATGCGAATGTCGTTGTGTGTGGGTGTTTGTGTGTGTCTGTGTGTGTTTGTGTGTATGTCAGTGAGTCAGTCTGTCAGTTAGTCAGTCATGCAGTCACTTACTAAGGCATGCAATCAGTCAGTAAGTCAGTCAGTTAGTCGGTCAACCGGTATGTAAGTTAGTCAGTTTGTCGCTTGCTAAGTCACTCTTTCAATCATTCAGGCAATCAATTCAAATGGTTGGTATGCGGTGTGTGTGTGTGTGTGTGTGTGTGTGTGTGTGTGTGTGTGTGTGTGTGTGTGTGTGTGTGTATGTGGGTGGAATGCAGTGGGTGTAGTACTTGTACCAGCTGCAGCACCTGCTGCGGCGGATGTTGCTGTCGCTGCACCTGCTGCGGCGGATGTCACTGTCACTGCACCTCCTGCATCTGCTGCAGCGGATGGTATACAAGCAGCAATTGCCGCAACTACCGCAACCGCTACATCAGACAAAGCAGCGGCAGTTGCTGCGCCGTGCTCAAGTTGCCGACAACAGCGGCCTCTCCATTGGAACCCCCCAACCACCTAACTCCACCTCCCCACACACCCCAAACTTCCCAAAGCCTCTTTCTATTTTTTTTCTGTTTTTGCTCAGAATAGCCTTAAATTTTTTTGGGGGGCTCCCCTGGCGGTGCGCAGACCCCCCCCACTTTTTTTTTAATGGCAAAAAAATTGTTGTCCCATTTTCCGGACAACTCCCCCTCGACCGTCTCCCGCAGACGTCCGGGGGGGACGTCTCCCAATCGGATAGCTGGTAACGTAGTATATATATATATACAGGGTTACCTGACCGAACGTTCGGGCGTTCGGGGTCTCGTTCGGGGTCTCGTTCGGGGGCCGAACACCTCCAGGTTCGGCCCCCGCCAAAAACCATTTCGGGGCCTAAAAATAGGTTTTTTTTTTGTATTTCTTTTTTGTAAGTTCTCTATGATGTAACCTACACGCCCATAAATTTTGAAGCCATTCTGCTAAGCCAAAAAAACATTAAAAATCGTCAAAGATGGGGGTGTCAAAACGTGCTCGCCCACTCACTATTTTGTTCTTTTTCACTTCTAACTTTTTGTTTTCACTTTATTTCGGGGCCTAAAAATTTTATTATGTTTTGAAAACTTTTTAATGAGTTATTGATTATGTAAACTACATCTGTCAATTTTCGAGGCATTTGTCAATGCCAAAAAATAATTAAAAATCGGCAAAGATGGCGGTGTTGAAAAGGTGCTGGCACACTCACTCATTTTAATTCTCTTTTTATTTTTGTTTTTTTTTATCATAGTGTTTATTTTCTTTATTTGATTTTTAATTCAAATTTGGTAAAGAATTTGGATAAAAAGCCCAGGCAAATGTTGTTTAGTTTAGTTTTCTCCATAGCAGTGTTTTTTTTCGGAATTTTTTGATTTTTTTTTTTTTTTTCTTGGTCCGCGTTTGGCCCGAACGGCCGAACGCCTTCCGAAGGGGTCCCGTACGTTCAGGCGTTCAGGTTCAGTCTTTCGGCCCAGCCTGAACCCCGGTTCGGCCGTTCGGGCCGAACGCGGACCAACAAAAAAAAAAAATAAAAAAAATCATCAAACAAATCTGAAAAAAAGATATGTTATGAAGAAAAAACAATTAAACAATATTTGCCTGAGCATTACATCCGAATTCCTTACCAAGTTTGAAATAAAAATAAAATACGGAGAACAAATACTAATAATAAAAATAAATAAAAATAAAAAGAGAATTAAATTTAGTGAGTGCGCGAGCATGTTTTCGACACCGCCATCTTTTTTTTTTGGCAAAGATAAATGCCCTGAAATTGTTTAGACCCCGAACTAAAGTGAAAACAAAAAAGTTTCAAAAAATAATAAAATTGTTTAGGCCCCGAACTAAAGTGAAAACAAAAAGTAAAAAGTGAAAAAAAACCTGGGTGAGCACGTTTTGACACCGCCATCCTTGGCGATTTTTCATTCTTATTTGTCTGAGCCGAATGACTTGACAATTTACAGGCATGTACTCCACGTCATAGAGAACTTACCAAAAAAAAAAAAAAGAAAAAAAAATATATTTCTAGGCCTTGAAATAAAATTTGGCGGGGGCCGAACACCGTCAAGTTCGGACCTCGTACAGGACCCCGAACGCCCGTACGTACGGACGTCTGCCCGTACGTACAGACGTCTGCCTGGTGACCCTGTATATATATATCTGGCGCTGTTATGCGCCAGATTCATGATCCGATAGGGCCCCTGGAGCGACGATAGGGCCCCTGGAGCGATGCGTGGACCTGTAGTACCCTACATGGAAGTCATTGGACCGGTAGTACCAAACGACTTAGTTTCGGGCGCCCAAAACCGAAAAGGTTTGGCGTGGGCTCTTTCTACCAGGGGTAACTTCGGCGTAGTCACGAAAATAGTTTGTAATTGCATTTTTTGAAACTGCGTTTTAGCAGTTTAGTCAGGGTCCGAGTTTCAATTGCAGTTTAGTCAGGGTCCAAGTTTCAATTGCAGTTTAGTCAGGGTCCGAGTTTCAATTGCAGTTGAAACTTGGCCGTATGCAGTTCAGTTAGGGCCCTCGTCTATCCACGAACAGTAGATAAACAGAAAAAAAGAAAAAACATCCCTTATGCTGTGATTGCGGTCCGATACAGGATGCTACAGTACTTGTCTGGAACTCAATGAAGCGTGGAATCCGGCCTGCCTGGCTGGCAGGGCGCTACAGGGACCTCACAACAAGAAACAAAAAACGAAAACTACCTGTTTCATGTTCCTCACTTCCTGGCCAGATACATTCCTCAAAGCACTGATGACCTGAGGGCCTTCCCGGCGTAGGTGGATTC